GATTATTCGTGGGGATTGATTCATGAATTTTCATCCATTCATCTGAGTCCGGAGAAAATTTCGGCCCAGACGAGACCGTGACGTCGTAAAGCCGGAGATTCCCGACCTTGCCCTCCCCCAATGACCTCAACTGTTTTTTTTTACCGAGCCTCATCTACTCGCTATCATCGCTGCTAATGATTCGTGGGGATGTACTAATTGGTTTGAGCCTAATGTGGGAAAACGCCATTGTTTTTTTTGGTGGATTGCGGATGCTGGTTGGATGATGCGATTGGAATGGAGTAGGTGTTATTTTTTTGGGTATAAACTGCTCTTGAAAGTGAAGTTAAATTCGGGGAATTTCACTCAGACGGGCCTAGGTTATTGTTAGTGGAAGATGTTTCATTTTATACTACTCTATTTCGAGAGTATCGACATGTGAGATTAGTTTTTGATGAATATCTTTGGAGCCAAGCCAGATAGCGAAATTGTTGTCCAGAGTATTTTGTAGAGCGGAATCAGAGCTACAAAATCGGTCCTGACAACAATATCGCATTCTCCCTTAGATTCGAAGATATTTACTGAAAACTCATTTTGAAATTGAATTGGTCTTCATATCTCGTTTTATTACTTCACCTGTTTTCTTCTTAGTTTCCAAATACCTTTCAATCTATACTAGATTACGTTTTGAGAGTGAAAACAGATCTTGAAAATGAGATCAAATTCGTAGGATTTCACTCAGCCAATCCTACACTATTGTCAACGAAAAATATTTCATTTTATTCTGCTCCATTTCGAGTCAATCCAGGAGTAAGATCAGTTATTGATGAATATCTCTAGATCGAAGCCAGATGCCGAAATTGTTATTGAAACCTTTTTTGTAGAGCGAAATCAGAACTACAAAAATGATCTTGCCAAAAATATCGCCACCTCCCTTAAATTCGAAGATATTCATCGAAAACTAATATTGAAGTTGAGTCGGTCTTCTTATCTCGTTTCACTACTTCACCGCTGCATTCACAAGAAGCATAAAATGCCTTGGAATGTAATCTCCATCGTCCTTGGGTGTATTTTATGCGTTATGATTCAATAGAGTTATAAATCCACGCATCAACGGTAGAATACCCCGGAATTTCTCTCGCATTCCAGCGAATGAATCGACTGTTTTGTTGTTCTCTTACTTTTTTAATTCCACCGAGAGATATCTGCATTATTAAAGTGCCGGCCGGTAGTTGTATATGTAATAATGGAGTGACAGCCGCCTGTCATTCACAGAGAGCCGGCTGAAATGTCTAGAAATACCCCTGAGACCCACGTGAAACTATTTATTTATTCATTCATTCATTCATTTATTTCTCGTCTAAATGATGTTTTTTTATTTTGCTCGTGGGCATCGCGTTGATCCTTCCATCTTGGTTCTATTTATCACTGGAACATCTCTTTCGCCTTCTCCCTGGGAGTGCGTAACACACTGAGATATATAAAACTCTCCCTTCAGCATGAAAGTGACTTGCGATAGAGAGACTCGGCATGTCGCTTTTTTTATTACTTCTCGTCATCTCACTCCAGCAATTCAACTCTCACTCTTACTTTGGGAGTTGTAGCATGTGTGCTTGTTTAGTGTTGTTGTAAATTACGAATGGCGGAGGTAAACGCCCCGGTTTCCCCGCAAATTACTCGGCATTTCGCAATGGCCTTTTTTTCATTCAAATTCTTAGTGATAATTTTTTTCAATCGGGGGGCTCTTCGGTCTTCTGATTGGTATCTCGTCATTTTTATGCTGCCGCGGATTTTATCAGCCTGCTTAGGGAATTTTTTATATTTGTTTATGGATCTTGTGGTTTCAGAGATGGTTATGGAATGGGATTTTGCGGAGTGTTTTGCAAACATCTTCGGAGCAAGGGGTTTTTGAGGGACGATATTTCAGGATTTTTTTAATTTTTTTAGGAACCTTGGGGTTTTTTAGATAATTTAGGGAATAGGGCACATGGGATTTTTGACGCGGGTGAAAAAATTGCGGAGGTATTAACGATTATTTTTGGAGTGGAGGGGTTTAGAGATAAATGAAAGCGACATTTTGTGCAGAGAACGCCATAATCATGTCTATGAAATTTCATTTGCATATCTATGAAATGGTCTTCTTACATTTTTCTCTAAAATCATCAGTTTTTGAGATATCCATGGAATAGGATTTTTTATGAAGAATCCAATAGGATTTTTTCTTTAAATCCTAATGAAATGACATTTCTCATACATTGAAGGTCATTTATATTTGTCTAAAAATGAATAATTAATGCAAAAAAAATGATTATTTATTGTTTTCTTGACCCGCAGACGCTTAAAATGTTAAAAATAATCCAAAGCCTCCAATTTTTTAACTACTGAGGTTTTGTTTTCCAAATTTTCGAAAAAATATCTGCAGTAACAATTAAAAATTTGTTTTTTTATTCCTCCACAGCTAATTTGTTTTTTTTTTAAATAATAAATTGCACCATTTATATAAAATGGCCCAAAAAATATTTCTGAAAGAATCGAGAATATATTTTACATTTTACGCATAATTTTTTACCCATTTTAAATCAATGGCGCAAATTTTCACATTAAACAAACCCAAATTATCTGTGTAAGAGTCGAATATCAAAAAACTAATTCGTCATTGTTACTGTACAATTTTTTTTTATTTTGAAAAAACCTCTGTAGCTCAAAAATTGAAAACTCCAAACTATTTTTAACACTTTAAGCGCGTGCGAGGCAAACGAACACTAAACAATTAATTTTTTGCACTAATTATTCATTTTTGCACACATATAATCGATTTTTAATGCATGAGAAGAAGTCTCCCCTAATCAATCTAAAAACACACGAAGAGGTAAATGTTCCTGCTCTATCTCCATTTCGCCAATCGTTCCAAGACTTTGATTTTTGCATTTATAATACAGTCACTCCCGCGGTATTATCATAGACGATAAGACAACATTCTACATACAGGGAGTCACGACTCGTGAGTCATTCAGAATGAAGTGCTCTGTATCACCCGCGATTAAGTATAATCTCAATGCGCTCAGTGACTCGTGGATGATTAGACGTTTTTTAGAATTGTTTCCGAGATGTTTTGCTCTCTACGTCAGACGTTTAATTGAAATAATGAAATCAATTGGGAGAACGGTATCAGTTAATGCCATTAAATCAGCGATTATTCCGATCGAATGAGGTTTCAATAATTCATCGGGATTTTCCCAATCTAGTTCTCTTCTTTCGTGCGGTGGAGATAAACTCTGGAACTTTGGGACTATTTCTGAGCGCCGTACAATACCATTGTCTTCTTGGGAGTGTTTACAACACTTGCAAGGATGCTCACACTATCGTCGAGCTTTTATGATTGTTTCTTTTAACTTCCAGTTTTATTTCCTCTTGTTTTTTTTTTGCTTCTTATCGCCAACGTCCGAGTCACGCCCGCACTTCGGCTCTACTGGTAAAGCAGTTCAGTCTAGCGATAAGGTGTCGTGATAAGATAGTAAATCTGGGCTGCAGCTGGTTCAGGGAGAGAGAGGAGATTGCTTAGGATCTTTTGTTGTTGACGATTTTTTACTTTTTGTTTCATGTCAACGGGCAATTGTGGCTCTGAATAGTGTTTTTTTTACATTATTGGTTGTTGAAATCACAATTTATGCTGTTTGATGAATCTTAGTAATTTTTTGTTCAAATTTTGGAATTATTTGGCGAATATCTGGAGATGAATTTTTGTGGATTTTTGATTTTGAAATGAATTCACAAGTATTTCTGCAAATATCTCCGGAACTAGTGGGTTTACGAGAAAATGTGGTATGAAATTTTTTGTCGAGAATTTCATATTCTAGAAAAAATGTTGAGTGACATTTTTCTCTAAATTTATTAGTTTCAATGATATTTGTCAAATAGTGATGATGAAATCTTCAAATTTGTCTGCTCCTCCTGTTTTTTAATTCTAGACAATTCTCTCCATTTTCTTTGTCATCGTAAAAATATCAAAACAATAGAATAAACAGATGAAGTTTTAATTGACTGAAGAAAACTTATCGGATCGTCTCCCAATCCGAATTAATTGTAATTCGAATTAAACACGAGTGCACTACATCCCCAGTCCTAAGCAGACAATGAAGGGGGGAAGAGGGGGATAATGTGTATTTAAACAACCCAGGCAATTTCATCTCGACTGAAGATGGGATTTTCTTCCCCATCAATGTTGTTTTTTTGGTGTTGACGATTTTTTACTTTTTGTCTTTATGTCAATGGTCAATTGCGGTTCTGAATAACGATTTTTTTAACATTATTGATTGCTCAACAAACTATATATACTGTTTGATGAATCTTATTAATTTT